GATAATAATACAAACATATTCCAGCATCTGTCTCTTGCTGAAAGACGTTTCGATCGACTGATGCTTCACGAATCAAGCTCTTTAATTACAGCACGACACAACTCGTTCAAAAACAATTCACATCGTTCCACTAATATTTCAACTCAAAGTAAATTTCAAAAGTAAATCTGCGAGACTGAAACCAAACATGAATGAATGAATGATCTATCCGCGTCGTCAATTCTCTAATTCCTCAAAGAAGTAATTTCAAAGCAGTTATCACGATTCCAAATGAAACTACGAGCTTTGTTTTGCTGAATCTTTAACATTACCAATAACAATATTATTATCTTTATGATTGTTATCACTCTCAAAACTGCTATTATGATGATGTCCATTCCAAGAATGTTCCACTTCTTCGACCTTCTTTATAACCACTTCTTCCAAGTGTTGCTCGACTCTCATTAATGCTTTTATATACATTAATGCGTAATCATAAACCGTGAAACTTATGCCGACTGCGATTGGACCCTTAAACAACGCATCGATTACAATCAAACACCCACTGTCGTACACTGAAATGACTAAACGACGAAAAACGATGTTTAGCTGAATTAAAAAAATGCACAAATAACAAAAAATATTGCGGATAGATTAACTGACGAACCTTGACCCAGTTCATTGAAAGACCCTTATACCAACCACGTCTGATACCTTCACTCTTATAAATTTTATACAACGAAACGAGCATATTCTGACCCGCTGGTAAACGACCAGTTTGCATACGCCGTCGAACGATGTCCAACGGATACGACGACGACTGCCCAACTAGTCCAGCGAAAGCGCCGAATAGTAACCGATAAATTGGCGATACTATATGACCCGTTCTTTCTGAAATACAAAAAACTTTTTGATGATATCTCAGAAAAGTGGAGGAAAAAACACGAACAAGTTGAAAAAGGAAACGATGAAGGTACTTTCGCTGTGAAGTTTCATTGCTTTTGAACGGGAAAATACGAAGTCAACTGCTCTCAATTAAATTCTAACCTTGGTAGAGAATTTTCAACGATTCAAAAGTGAAAAAACTAGCACCAGCATACGGTATAACACCAGCTAATGCTGCGCACATTCCTCGATAGAATGTTCTGAAAATGTGACAAAAACAAAAATTAATTGATTTGTGAAAAGTGGAAATGAATCAATCTTTCGAATGAAGAAAAATTACTGATGAAAAAGGCTTGTTAAATTCTTCCAAAAAACTGAATATGGTTTATCACTGACGATAAGGTTTCAATAAGATCAGCTCAAATAATTAGTTGACTCAAAATCCGAACATTTCAAAAAAAATCACGATTAAACTATCAAAAAATTCCGTGAAAATTCCGCACACCCAATTCCATGTCGTTGATAATTTTTCACAAAAACATCCACCAAACCAACGAATTCAGCCTTCGTTGATGTAGCCAATCGTGCCTTTGCAGTGTCCAGTGGATATGTACAAATTGTCGCCGTTACTGCGGCCAACGAGCCAGCCACGTATCGCTTCACTGGTGTCCGAGCTCTCAAATTTTCTCCACAAATTTCGGAAAACTTTAAAAGTGACGATAAATTTTTGTGAATCTGCATATTTAACAAATTTGAAATGTAGCAGTCAAAAACAAACTTCAAAAGTTATGCTTGCAACGTATGCGTTTATAAGTTGCAACAGTAAACATATACAGATATTGCCAAAGAAATTCACTGAATGCATGCATTATAATATTTATAACTGCGTCTCGTTGATAATTAGAATAAAAATATTTCGAAAATTGAATAAATCTGAAGAAATGAATTCAGTTTCACTCACCCGTCCTTATCAACCCGCATGATTCGTTTGTACTCCTCATGTGATGCAAACTGAATTGATGCATACGGAATAACTCGAACCATCGTGGCCGAATTGCCTCGCCATAACGAGATGAATCCGGTCGTTTGATATGTTAATTTGATAAACTTGACGGCCGCTTTGAACGAGTAACCGCGTCGACTGGAAACTAGAATTAATGCTGGATAATTGAAACAGACACTTGAAAGTGAATGCATAGTTAGAAGTATCACTGATATTAGCCTCTATCAAATCATGTTTAGCCAATTGATCAGCTCGTCAAGAATTGTGATAATTCAGGATTAATGAAATTATTGTTTGTCTCTTTCTCTTGAGATTGAAATCATCGCTTAGGAAAAGTTATTTTCATGGCAAAACAATTTTTTTTCTCGCAAACTGTCCTATGAAATCGTTGAGAATACGGAACTGAATCGATGAAAAGCAGATCAAAGTAATCGTGATTTTTTTGAAAAAAAATACGATTTGGTTTTTTTAAGCAAAAGAAAATCTTCATCTCAATCCACAGAAATCAAAAAATCTTAACCAGACGTGACTGACAAAATGCATTTGAACAGTTGCTGCTCAAATTCAAACGTTCTAAATGAACGATTCGAGTACAAATCGATGCACGAATAGAATTATTCGGTGCATTATTTACATTCATTTTTACANCAACAATAATGAAATGTTTCAAGAGTAAAATCGTTAAGAGATTAAGGAGAATAACTCCGGATTCAAGTTTATTCACGCAATATCCCCAACAACTAAAACTTTCCATCAGTTGTGCTAAGCAAAAGCTAACCAGCAAGTTAGTTTCAAAACAAGCAAACTCATAAACTTCATAAAAACCAACTTTGAAAGTTGATTTTCGTCCTATCCAACGGTGCAATGGTTGTCTTCGCAACTGCACCCGCTACAGCGCCTGCAGCCAGCGCACAGAATACCGATCTCGCAGACTGTTTCCTCTGCAAACGACCGACTTTCACTACTCAACCACAATTTTTTCACAGTAATAAATTGTCAATTTCCGATTTCAAATAGTCAATTAACAAAACCGATGCAATGTCATAACTTCAGTGCACTTTTCTTTTCCACACCAATAAAAATCCATTATTACAATAATGTGCTCATAATCGCTACTGTTTTTCATCATGAACTATGAAGTTTCATATTCTGAATTTCAAGTGAAACAAATTAAAGGAATGAAAATGAACGATGAATTCGTAAAGAAGAAGTAAAATTAAAATTGAACCGTTTCTTTAGGTCGAGGTGATGACATCTTATGGATGGATGAATGATATATGAATGTGATGTTTTAGAGGAGGCTTTTAGAGTAGAGTTTAGAAAAGCAACACTGCAGAGGTTTATCGTCGTGGTGCCCACTCGGTGTTGTTCAGTGCTGTTGTTTGTTTTGCTATTGATTTGTTTCGATGAGAATAAAGAAATTCTTTGCTTATCAACGGATATTGTTTCGTGTTGTTGTTGCTGTTGTTGGTATTTTTATCAGTGCAAATGTACCACATCAAAACCAGACAAATCCACCGAAAGAATGCTCACAATTGTTTGGCGAGTTGAAAGCACTGATTTCGATGCATATTCAACTCTCCAATTGCATTATCGTTGATCAAATTTCTGCCCAGAAGCAAACTTGAACACTACTGAAAAAGTGGATTTTTGAAAATAATTCATTCATTAAAATTATCTTCACAAATTTTGCATATCTTCTGCAGACGGATAAGATGGTTAGAAATGTGGCCGAGA